ACAGGCGATTGATTCATTTTTGTATTTCCATTATGAGATTCTTAGTTCTTTTGAATGGTGTTTGGAAGATTTTTTTCCCAAAGTTCCAAGGTTTGAGGGAAGGATGTCTGGTGTCCCTGCTTCTATTTGTTACCATTATGGAGGCTTTCAGTCACACGCTTCATAAAGTAAAGGAATGAGGGATCTTGAAAGGCTTTGAGGTGTGGAATAGGGGCAGAAAAGTCATATCCATATCTTATTTTTTATTTGTGAATGACAATATAGTTTTTCTGAGGCCCAAAAGGAGGAGTTAAGATGTTGATGTGTGCTATGTTTGTCTTGAGGTTGTGTCTAGTCTGGAATTAATACAGCCAAGAATGAACTTAGTCCAATGGGTGAAGTTTGTAACTCTAGTTCTATTGATCTGGCTCTCATTTGGGTGTAGGATTGGGGTTTATGCCTTCTTCTTACTTAGCTCTACTGTTGTGATTCAAATCTAAAGTTATGTAGGATGTTAACTTTAAGAAGAGATTGACTAATTAAAAGTAGTTTCTCTCCAAGGACAATTAACTCTTATTAAGAGTATGTTGTCCAACTTTCCTACTTTTTTCACTTATTTATTTATTTTTTATTGTTACGTTGCTGTGCCTATACTGTGCGAAGACTTGAGAATATGATGAGGGACTTCTTATTGGGAGGGTTGGGAGACAAATTTAAGTATCATTTGGTAGATTGGAAGGTTGTGACCTGGTGTAATGGGAAGTGTTATTTGTTCCCAACCTTGTGATGCTAGTTTGAGTCATGAAAATTAGCCTCTTCACAAAAAGTGAGGGGAAGACTGTCTGCCTACTACCTCTCCCAAACTCTATTGTAAGTTGAAATCTTGTGCATTAAGTATAACCTTTTTATTTTATTTTATTTTTTTATTATTATTATAGATTGGATGGTGCTTACTAATTAATTATGGGTGCATGGTTGTGGATTCTTTGAAAGTGAGTCTTTGCAGGATAGTGATTGTGGAGAAATATGGCAGTTGGTCGGGCGGGTGGAGGATTGACATGATCAAAGTCTTGTATGAGGTTGGTCTTAGGAATAGTATTATGGGAATATGGGAGGATTTCTTCAAACTCTCTGTCAAGGTTGTGAATGGTCACAAAATACGTTTTTGGTAGGATATATGGTGTGTAGACTGTTGATGGAGGTGTTTCTTGATCTCTTCCAGTTTTCAAGGGACAAAGAAGTAGTTGTGGCAGATTTCTTGAGCACCTCAAGCAGTGGAATTGTTTGGACTCCTTAGTTTAGAATAGTATTGATAAAAGCATGCTTAAAGCACAAAGCGCAACAAGAGAAGAGTTTTTAGTAGTTAAAGTGCAATATTTTTTGTGCTTTTTTACATTTTTATTTTTGTTTAAATTTTTTTTTTTATAATAGTTTTAACCTTTGCATCATGGTAGTATAAATACTGATAGTATGGTATGATGCACTACATGAGATCAAGAGTGTGGTGAAGGAAGGGAAATGGGTTTTAGTGCGCTGGTAGAGATCCATAGCCAACGACTACGAAAGTGTATTGTAATGTCAAGCTGTAACATGCCCCACCATCATCATTGAAGTTTACACTCGTTTTATGTTTCTGTACTGTATATACCTGTAAGAAATAATGTATAGAGAAAGAGAGAGAATAAATTGTATGTATTATTATTGATTGATATATTGATTTCTATTACAATGATTCATGATTCCTATATATAGAAGAGGGTGAGTGTGTAGTAGGTAAGGAGTAGGTGAAGTGGAGGTGGTAGTGGTGTAGTGGGTTAGGTTTAGTGGAGTAGGTGAGGTGGTAGTGGTGTAGTGGGTTAGGTTTAGTGGAGCAGGTGAGGTGGTAGTGGTGTAGTGGGTTAGGTTTAGTGGAGTAGGTTTAAGTGGGTGAAGTAGGTGGAGAGTAGGTGGATTTTAACAATACCTTAGATATATGTAGAGAGAGAATGGGTCTGAACCTGCTGTAACTTCTTGGGAAGAACTTTGGGACTTGGAAAACTAATATGAATTATCGAGACAAGTGTTTCATGTATTTGTGATGTTATGCATAAAATGTAATTTTAAAAAAAGGTTTTAATAGGATGGCATGATCGTGTTATGGCATGATCGTGTTTACATGCTAACCAATTGAAAATATTAGGAATAAGTTCTAAAATATTATATATATTTAAAAAAAAAAAAAAAAGACTGATAGGATAAGTGTTACATTTTCTTCAACATATACATTAAATTTAAAAAAATGTCATATTTATAAATAACTATGAAGCACGGACATGGACACGGGACACGTCAATTTCCAAAAAATGGGGACATGGACACGGACACGGCCACGGCAGGGGACACGGCAAATTTTTTAATTTTTTTATAAATATTTTTATTTTAATACACATTAATTATTTTATTTATTTATTATATTTTTTAAATAATGTGTTCCAATTAATTTTTTTATTTTATTTTACATACATGTGTTTATTTTTATTATTAATATGTATAAGTATATATTATCTTATAATATGTATTATATATTATCTTATAAATATATTATATGTTATATAATAACTATTATATAATATATAATAATAATAGTTAAACCCTAACTCAGATCACACCTCTTGTATATATATATATGAATTAAGAAGATAAAAACGAGAGAGAGAGAGAAGGAGACAGAAGCGTAGCGATCAATCGCGATCGTGAGGGAGAGAGAGAAGGCGAGAGAGAGAGTGGCTTACCTTCGAAGTCGTCTGGGGTGTTCAACTGTTCGATCGACTGATGGAGCTTTGATCTTCGACTAGATGGAGCTTCGACTGGATTGACTGGATGGAGCTTTGATCGATTGGTTCAAGGAGGTGGTGGATCGAGTGGTTTAGGGCACTGATGATACTTTTCAGCAACACTGATCGACTATATTAGGCCAGCTAATTTTTTTTTTTTTTTTTTTTAACTTTTTAAATATTACACTTTGACCCCAAATAAATATAACAAAATTAAAATTGAGCCTCGCCGTGTCCCATGTCGTGTCTCGACATTGACACGCGTGTCCACGCCGTGTCCTCTGCAAAAAAAATTCGTTGTCCCTGGCGTGTCGGACACTGCCACGGCACCGATTTTGGAGTGTCCATGCTTCATAGATAAATAAATTATAAATTCAAAACAGTATATGAAAATGCACTGGTACTGATATGTACCTTACCAATGATAAAAAGGTTACTATTACTGGTATGGGATTCATAACCTTGGTGCAAACTTGCAAGCAGAGGCAAAGGCAGGGCCAAGGGGGTAGCTGGCCCCCTCAATTTTATAAAAGTTTTTGTTCAACTTGTTTTTGTAAAATAGTTTCTCAAATTGTCCCCTCTAAAATTTTATATATGCCCCTTATTTTTTCCAATGTTATTTAAGGCGAAAGGTGCACTGAGGCACCAAGGTCTCCTAAGTCCTAGGCACGAGGCATGGGCTTTATTGAAGCAAGGCACATGTTATAGATATTGCAAAGAATATGAGAAATTTGTGTGTTTTATCTAACCAACCAAAGACATTGCATTTTTATTTGAGATTATTTTCACCCAGCGCATTACATTGTGCATAGTAATTTAGACTCTGTTAAGAATTTTGAATGAAACAATTAAACAATTAAAAGCAGTTAAGCAAATATGAATCAAGTAATTAAGCAAATTAATCAATTAAACATTTGAACAATTTAAGAAATAAAATAAAATAAATTAAGCCAATTAGTCATTAAATAATGAATTATTTGGTGCAACTTCTGCTTACAACTTATTAGTCATAAATAGTTTAAATAAACAAAAAAAAAATGATTATCTGGAAGCTAGGGAAGGGGTACTTTAGACTTTTTTATTTTATTTTATTATCAGTTTTTAGCTTACAATAAGTTACACCAAATAGGCCCAACAAACACTTTTAGATTGGAAATTAGTATTTGCCCATTGTTACTATTGCCCCGGGGGGGGGGGTGTAAAGCAAAAGCAAAAGCAAAAAAATGTTATGCAAGTCAAAATGTTAAAAACTTGGGTATGTATCTTCAATACGTTGGTTAGGATTGACGCTCTCTATATATTTTAGGGGCTTTGATAGGATGTTGGCAAAAGCATAAAATATTAACAGGCTTCATTAGATTAAATGGCTGATAGCATCTTAATATTGCCCCAACCTAAGCCAAAATTATAAGCCTTTATCTTAAATTGTCCCACCCTAAACCAAAATCCTGGCTTCGCTGATGTTTGCTGGGGGTATATTCTTGGTAAGATGTCCTACGCAACATCAAGAGGGAAGGGGTTTAGCTGCTAAGGAGCCTATTTTGACCTTGGATAACTTGTGGTTGAGGGGAAAGTGCTTTTGGATTGGTGTTGCATGTGTAAGTGTGTAGGGCAGGACACCAACCATCCTGGAGGTAAATGCAAGATGGCTTTGGAGATGGCCCTTTTATATGTATTTTTGTGTTAATAGAATGTGAAAGGACTAGAAGTTATTTAGAGAATGAGGAGAGTTCTTTATTTTGACTTCTCTTGTTGAGGGATAGTTTCCCTTTTGCTCTTGATTCTTAAAAAATAAATAAATAAATAACAGATCATTTCCAAAATTAACACTAACCACTTCTCCTACCGGCTTTCAATTTAATCGTTAAAACCTTAAATTACTTGTCCATATCCTCCAATTGTGCCAATTCTGAAAGTCAAGCAATTTGCAACTTTCGAAATCAAACCAGTTTAAGCATTTTTTCTTCAAGCATATGACTTTTGTTTATTATTCATGGCAAGTTATACGATCCGATGTGGCATGTAAGAAAATATTACCATTATTGGTTTCATAATTTAAAAATGTTGATTACATTGGTTGTGTTGGTCAGTATGAATGTTGCTTTTTTCTTATTTATGTTTCTTCAACTACTCCTAATATTAGACTTATATACTGAGATGTTTATGGCAATTCTGTAGTTTTTTAATCTCATTTTCAATACTTTTCAGTACAAACCCCCTGCTGAATGTGGAACAAACATTTGAAGTTACAAGCATAGATATAGCCTTGTTGCAGAATGCAGAGTATGAGGTTCAGGTTGGTTTCAAATTGGTTACCTTCCTAGATTCAGTTATACTTATTGATAATATGAGGTGTTGCATTTGGATGGATTTATTATTAAGTTTTGGGAGCTTCTTGTCAGGCTTGGTGCATTCTTCTCAATGATAAAGTTCCATTTCGGATGCAATGGCCACTATTTGCAGATCTAAAGGTCAATGGTATGCAACTTAATGATCCTTCAAATATTGAAAGCATGTCTCCTCACTTGTGCTGAAAGCCATTGCGTATTTTGAGTTCATTTACTGGAAATCCACTTTATAAACCACTGTTTTGGGGGGCATTTGAAGTGTTTTTTGCAAGGCTTGATTTGTGACCAGGGAACTTGTTACAAATTTATAAGATGTTAGTTACAACTGCTGCATACATTTTTTTTTCATGAGGGTGTACGCCCCACCAGGGGTCACTTGAGTCATATTCCTCATTTCATAGGGTGTACGCTTGATTACTTGATCAACTTATTTGTCAATACAAAAAAAAAAGAAAAAAAAAAACAAAAATTGTATAAGTAAATGGGTAAATTGTGCCATCTCACTTGATGTTTTAGAATCATGCACTTAGAGACCCTTCTTGTTTGGAAAATAAGCAGGCATGGACCTCCCCTGCCATTACATATTGTGTTTTGAAGTTAATAGATGAGGGATGTAATGGTCAATTAACATTAAAATAAAAAATAACAATAATCAATTAAATGTAAACCACTTATCTATGCAAGTTTTAAGTATCAAATGATTATATGGCATGTGGAAAATAAGTCAAAATATTATTTGATCCCCAATTGAATCAATGCAGTACAAGCATACTCTAACTCACAAGGGGAGAGATAATGACCCAACAAAATAAATAAATAAATAAAACAATGCGAACAACAAAAGCTGTTTTGCTTCCTTGTTTTGAACCTTGATTAATTTATCTATTGAGAATGGTGGCATGCCCAAATCTTTCACTTGAATACATGCAGCTATGCAAGAGAGTAGCTTATATGGGTAACCAGGTTGAGATCACAATTATCCAAAAACTAAAAGCATCGCATCTATAATTGGGTAGTGATGAAGCACACTTGGCCAACAGTGGGGTCGATCAATTATGATATTGTCATATGTTTGTGTCCTATTGCTTATGTTAAAATTTTCTATATTGTCATTTTTTCTCTTGGTTGTTGGAGAAAGATTGAAAACATACTGTTGAAGTAAAGGCCCCGCCCAGCTTTCTACTTTCACATAGACCCAAATGCCAATAGAGAGAAGCCCGAATATGTACACCGAATGATAAATACATGAAAGGCTTGGAATTGAAGGTTAATGGAAGAAAAACGAAGGAGAAGGGATGGCACTGTTGGTGGTTAGTGGTGGATGAAGGATGGTTTGGATTTGGGTTGGGTGAAAATAGGTTGAGGATGAGAGAGAGAGAGTATTTTTTTTATTTTTTTAAAATATTGGTTATCTTTGTCATTTTCCAATCTTTTTAAGAACATAATTTGGGTAAATTACACTGACCTCTCGTAAGGTTTGGAAAAAATACAATAAGCCCCATAGTTTTGACATAATTACATTGAGATCCCTTGAGTAACACTCAGCCCCCTTTTCGTTGTTTATTTTTGTGTTTTCGCACCATTTACATTGACCTCCTTTTCAGTAAAGTTAAATGGATTGAAACTAATGCAAATGGTGCGAAAAATAAACAACGAAAAGGGGGCTGACTGTTATATGAATTAAAATCTCAAGGGAGCTCAATGTAATTATGTCAAGATTGTGGGGCTTCCTATATTTTCTCCAAACCTCAAGGGAGGTCAGTGTAATTTACCCCTTATTTTATTGCATATGAGGGTTAAGAGGTTATTTTGTACTGTTAACTTTGCCAACAGTTAACTCTTCTTAGATTGCTATGGCAGGGGAATGTCCCTGCCTATTTTCTGAACAATGGGGGTCTTGGTGCTTGATTTTGAAACTTCAAGAGATGTTAATGCTATTTACCCTTTAATATACATATGTATATATATATATATAATGGTTGACCAGGGTTTAGTTCTATCCAATTGTACTTGGTACAGTAAACATTGACACCAAACTTTTATCATAATTACTATTTCATTACTCCTATCCCAAATTAGTTGTCCATCTCCCTTTTGGAATTCCCAAAAGTATTGTCCACTTCGAAAGCAAATAGACATGATTTATATCTTTTTTAAGTTACTTACTCGTTTTGTTTCTTGGTTAGAAGACAAGTTTTTTTGAGTTTTGCGTGCGTGGGTGTCAGGGGGTCTGGATCCTGATTTGTTTACTTTTCTAGATTTCCTTGATGATCTAATTGGTAAGTTTGTTTTCCCCTTTTGGGGCTCCTGAGTTTTGTATTCTTTAGCATCTTCTTGATGCTCCTTCTTCAATAAAGTTTATTTATCAAAAAAAAAAAATGTTAATGACGATAGTTTGAAAATTGATATGTTTCTGGTTGAATGTCATTGAATTACATGAGTGAGGTCTTTTAAATAGTTCAATTTTGTAGGATTGACAAATGACAAACAATTCAGGATGGTGAGTTAGTTGCTTTCAAACATCAGTAATTATCTAGCTTTGTATTCTTGAAGTCATGCATGTCCATGTTAATCATATTAATATGTTCTCTTGTGAGGCCCACACTCAAATTTTTTGCATTGTGCCTTGTGCTTTAGGCAACTGAAATGCTTGACTTCATGTTTTTTGGCTCATGTGTTGTGTTTTAGGCAACTAAAATGCTTGACTTCACACCTTTGGTGCTTCTTCTTTGAAGACACTACGTAATAATGTGTATAAATTTGTTTGTGTCTCGGTTGCATGAATTATATTTTTAAAAACTAGCTAAAATATTTTACACTAAGATTTTCTTTATTTGTTGAGGCTGGGTCAAAATCACTAAAATGCCTGAGCCAACTTTGCCAACTATTGATGCTTGTCATAAGAGTTGATTGCTTTGAGCCCAAACTTGTTGGGATCTAAACTAGGCCAAGCCAAGTTTAGCCAGGCTGGATGATGTCCTGATGGGCTCACATTCCAGGAAACTTATTCAGCTTGTTTGGTTTTGATTTTCAGAAAACAATTTTCAAAAATTTTACTTTTTTATTTTCCATATTTTAATGTTTTCAATGATTTTTTTTAATATTTTAAGCATTTTTTATTTTTTAATATTTGTGAAAAAAATCTTTAAAAAATACACTAAATACCAAAAAATATAAAAAAATACAAAAACTTCAGTACATTTTTTTTTTTTTGTATTTTTGTGTATTTATTAATATTTTAAAATATATTTTCACAAATATTTTACTATTTAGATACATCTACGTAAGGTGCCTCTAAAAAAGTAAAACAATTACTTAAAATTTAAAAAATATTCACTAAAAACAAAAAAAAACACGAAAAACAACAAACTACTGAAACCAAACACACTGATTTCATGATATTATTGAAGCGAATAATTTTACCTTTTTATCATGTTAATTCTAGCTAATCTGTTGAAAATTTTAGGTGTGCCTATAAGGACGGTCAATAGACCCGGATCACAGTTATTAGGAGCAAACGGTCGTGATGATGGTCCCAAGGTGAATCTTCTCTCTTCCTTTTTTGTTTTGAGCAATCTTTATTCATTTCTGCAGAAAATATTTCTCATTTGAATGGATCCATTAACATTAATGAAACCATGTTGGAAAAAAAAATTATTTATCAAAAAAAAAAAATTGTTGAAAAAAAGAAATTACAAGGCAATTTTCCTATTGAAACATATAGAGCCATAGATATGCTCATATTTGTTTTATTATCTTTATTCGAGCATTGCTTGATTGCCACATATTTTTCCTTTTTGCATATATATTGGTTGCAAGCATAATTGAGCCATCCATAAACTTAAGGCTTAATTCTAAGCTAACTTTTTGTTTCCTTGGCAGATTGCATTTTACTTGAGCGAGGGAATTAATCAAATTTCTTTGTTAGGATGTGATGCTCGAAGTTTTTGCCTAGGTGTTAGACTCGTAAAGCAACGTGTGATTCAACAGGTAATCCTAATGATGCTATGAATGAGTTGATCCTTGATAAAATCACTATTGCAATATCTTGGGAAGTTGTGTTGTTGGGAATTGTACAAGATGAATTATTGTGGTAGTGGGCCTTTGGTGATTTGAATACTGTATCTATCTATCATTGATTGTGGCTTATATTGGAGAAAATTTATGAGTATTCTATCATAAATTCTGGCTTATTTTCCTTTTCATAGCTTTTGTTATTCTTGAATAGTTTGTATGTAAGGTCATTGTTTCCCTTAAATATGGATATACTTATCAAGTGAATATATATATATGTGTGTGTGTGTAAATCATGTTGTTCTAGTGATCGTGGGCAGGAGTCAATATTCTTGGATTTCAATCAAACAATAATCATGAAGGAAAGCAATCTTCTTTCACGCAATCTTTAATCTGTGCTTTATTATGACATGAGGGAGTAGTATTGTTTGACAATGAATGAACTCTACAGGCTCACTAGCTCTTGATATATTATCTATTTGGCTTTGATTTATATGTTATTAAGTTTGTTACATATTCCAAGAATTATCGATTTTTCCCAATATTTTCTACTTACTGTAGGACATTACAAGAAAATCTCTTCTCTTCGCTCTCTTGATTAACTTTCCTTCCATTTTCATCTCACTAAAAGATTTTGTTTGTTTGTTGTATTTAATCTCTAGATTCTCAGCTTGATTCCCAAAGAGCAAGATGGTGAACCTTTTGAAGATGCACTTGCCCGCATTTGTCGGTCGATTGGTGGTGGCATGGCCATGGCAAATGATGATAGTGATGATGATTTGGAAGTTATTGCAGACTCTGTTGCAGTTAATCTCCGTTGCCCTGTAAGTGGTTATCCTTTTGTTAACTTTTGGGGTTATCTTCCTCCACTTGCATGTTGATGCGTCTCCTTGGACGGTGATTTAGATAGATTGACTCACTTGAACATTGATTTTTTGAAATACTTATTTAATATTGAACCACGGAACAGACTTTATTCCATTGCACTTGAGTCCCCATATTCACCTAAACCATAATAGGAATCTCTGTCATTCATTGTTTAGTAATTTCAAATTTAATCCGAGCGTTGTTATCTTATAGTTATGTCAATTTGGGACTTGGACTGGATTCTCATCTTCTGTTATCTGTCATCATTTTTTATGCTGAGAGCATTGATTCATCAACAATGAGGGTTGCCATGACCAACATACCAATTTGTTTATGTTCAATACTTTGCTATCCACTTTTAAGTGGTAGAGACCTCCATTTGGGAAAGAAAAATATCAACATACATGGATTGGAGTCTAAATAAAATACATATGAAACTGACTCTGTAGGATCATCTCCCATTTTATACAATGATATGACCAATTGCATGAGGTTTAAAGAGAGAAGGTGTCTCTATACATATGTTATGTGCAACGAGAAACTATGTTTTAATTTCTTTTCATGGGACTTTAAAAATAGTTCCGAGGTTTAGGGTGTGTGGAGAGTCCTTTCTTATTGTTCTCTTGTTTCATAATCAAGTTAGTTACTTCTTTCAAGATGTTTTTCCTACTACTCAATTCCAGACCGATGCACAGGCACGGACTTGGGACATGACACGGATGACACACAAATTTTCAAAAAACAGGGGACTTGACACGTTGGAGACACGTTCAATATATATATAATTTTATTTATTTATTATATGTCTAAAATTAAAAAAAAAAATCATTGGCAGGTAATTAAAAATGCAAAATGACACTAACAAAAATTTTTTAAAAAAACATATATTTCATTACTTACATGTCCTTCTAATGTGTCAACCATCATTGGTTACAAATTGATTTTTTCCTACAAATAAAAATTTGTTCCGGTAAAGTACCAAAAAAATTAAAAATGAAAAAAAGAGGGGAAAAAAAGAGAAGAATTTGAGGTATAAAATAAAAAAATATTGTAAACATCAGAGATTGAGAGAAGAAAAAGACAAGAAAAAGGAAAAAAAAGAAAAAAAGAAAACAAGAAACAGAGTTAAGTCAGAAGAGAGATGAATAGGAAGTGTGAGTGAGAGTGTGAGAGAGACGAATTGGTAAAGAGATACGAACTGCTAGAGAGACGAATAACAGAGAGAGAGAGAGAGAGGGAGAGACGAATTGCGAAGTGAAGAAACAAGAAGAAAAACGAAGCAAAGAAGAACGAAGAAGAAAAAGGAAGAAAGAAGAGCATACCTCAATCTAGGGCTTCAACAGTTTCGTCTTCACCTTCTTAGGCTTCAATATCTCCTTCTTCACCCTCTTTCTCCTTCTCTCTCTCTCTCTTCAATAATTTAGGGTTTATTTCAGAAATCAATTTTTATGTTTTTTCACATTTACCCTTACGAGTTCTAAAAATTACATTTTGGACCCTGTAAGTGTCCAAACGTGTCCCGTAAGTGTCCATAATGTGTCTGGCTAGAAAAATTAAAAAAAAAAAACAAAAAAATGGGGACACCTCCCATAGAGTATCTGACACGTGTCCACCACCTGTCCGGCGCGTGTCCGTGTTCGACATGTGTCGGACACCCCTACACTGCCTCCAGAGAGGTGTTTGTGTTTTATAGATTTCAGATATAGGTTGACTTGAACATTTCTTAGAAAGAGCTTTTTCCTTTGGGCTATTCTCTAATGGATTGCAGAGCATACAACATTTTCCCTTCATTCTAATATGTTAAGGGTCATGCTAAGATGACTCTGGAAAGAAGATTCAAATTAAGGGGTCATGTTTTGTTAAATCTTAGTAGGAGTTTGACCTTTTGCGAGTCATATATCCTTGATTTGGTCTAATGTTACAAGAAAGGTTGCTCAATATGCTTTTGTTGTGATTGGGGAGAGACTTTTTCTAATAATTGTAGGAAGTCCGTAAACCCACATCATATCACTGCCCCAATGCATTTTAGCCCAACATATTTGAGGGAGTTTGTAACTTTTAGGTATTAGGAGTACGACTCCAATTGGTGCAACTTATTATGACTTTTTTTGGGTGCAGGTGCAGCTTCTAGTTATAACTTTTGAGTCAAAATTGATTTAAATAAGTTGAAAAAGTTGATTATTTAAAACTATGGAGGGGATGCTTTTAGATATTAGCTTGTCAAAAGCTAAACCAAATGGGGCCGTAAATATGCTAAATAGCCCTCCAAGTTGAACTAGAAGAGAGTGTTGAGTTGAAACACAACGAATTTCACAAAAGTAATTTTTATTAATCCTAGCCATCCATAGAGGAGGATGGCTAGGATTAATTTGATCCTAAGGTCATTATTAGTCTTCCAGAATATTTTAGGATACCCTCATCCTTCCACTTTATTCAAGAATTCTCTAGATTGTGCTAGTACATAGTGGATTTTTTTATACTTCCGTAGAATATTCCAGATAGTTCTTGACCTTCTAGATTTGTCTAGATTTCTCCAAGGTTCTCTAATATTCTGGATTCTTCTAGAATGTTTTAGAATCTTCCGGATTTCTCCAGAACTTTTCGTAGTCTTCTAGATTCTTCAACATTGTAAAATGTCACAGAAAAATTCTTAGGGGAGAGAGTGTGTGTAGTTGATAGCCTAGATAATTCTAGAAGAGTCAATGGTGACTCTTAACAGAGACTTCATTTCATAACACTTTTACCTAAGACCAAAACTACTTAGAGCCTTGGTAGTTGCAAACCAATCTTCCCAAACTCCATTTAAAAAGTGTAGTTAGTGAGTATGGGTATGTATCCATAGGGACTATTGTATATTTAATAACTATTTTAATTATCACTTGTCAAACTAGTTTAATGAATGGCTGGTTGATTGTTGGTGATAACAATTTATAAAACCCTAATTAAATAAGAAATAAAATAATATTGAATAATTGGATTGGGAACTTAAGGGTCCGAATCCACCACTAGTTTTGTACCTGAAATTGCAAACTTGAATTATGAAATGAATGAGTGACACGAGCCAATTCCTCAACTACAAGTTAGGAATCGGAAAGAAGAATAAAGTCGCATTTGAGGCGCAAGTACGCACTATCTCAACGGCACAGATTGTCCACTCTAAACTAGGGTTTGTGGCACAATCTATCTAGTCATAGCATAGTCCATCTTGGGTTCCGAATACAACAGAATGATAACAAAGTAAAACATTCATTCTCAGTCACAAAAATCGAATGAAGAGTAAAGATAGAAGAATATTAAATTGTGCGTGTTCACCATCAAATTTGGGCTGCGTGTTCAGATTTCAGAGATTCAAGTGATTGAGCTATGTGTTCAAGATGGAGTATTATGTTATACACTAAGCGTGCAGGAAAAGTTGTGTGCTAAAATGAGCCGAAGCATGGCATGCGAATGTGTTCAGAATGAGCAATAGGCATACATAACATGAAATGCAAGGAAAATGCAGAATAAAGGCAGAAAATGTAAAAAAAGTGAAGTACATACCTCTCATGCCTCATGGGAGAGATGGGACTTTGGCTCCCGCAATAGCAGGTCTACAAGAGCTCGAGGGTCGAAGTCGGTAAAATGATAAAAAATCGCCTGAGGGAGGACATGAGTCGAAGGATCGTACCTCTCGGGGATAAATGGACGAACCCTCGGATGCAAAGACATGATGTAAGGCTTGCCTCCGGCGCCTGGAGAACCTCCGCCGTGGGAAAATTGACCCGCCATTTCAAGAAATCTGCAAAAATGAGCAAAAATGAGCGAAATGAGCCAAAATTGGAAAAAGTCAATAAAAGTCAACTCTCGGGAAATGAAAAAGTCAACAAAAGTCAACTTCCGAGAAAATCTTTCAAATATTGAGACAAACTTACCTCAAGTGGTGAAAATGAGAAAAGGAGCTCCGAAATCAAATTTTAATCGGTTCAAAGTGAAGAGAACTGAAAGTTTTCGCGAAACAACTTGGCGTGGGGCATTGGAAAATGCGTATAGAGCGTAGATCTGAGAAAGAAAATGCTCTAGGAAGGGAGAGGGACTGATTTCGGACCTGATGTTATGAGCAAAAGGTGTTTGGCTTTGTGTATTTCAAGAAATGGGAGCAAAAAGACCAAACTACCCCGGATTTGGGCTAGGTGGTCGGCCGACCACCTTTTCTGGCAGGCCGACCATCCCTTACACTCCAACCTGGTCGGTGACCTCCCCCTGGGACCAAACCTAGCCGGTGGTGTTCCCAAGGTGGTCTCCAAGGTCTCTGCAAATTTTGGTGATGATTGGAGTCCCCGGGACCCGAGAAAGTACAAGGAAAGTGCGCTTTTTCGTCGCGAAATCCCTCCGCGGAAACTCCAACTCCAACTTTCGATGCGTGCTTCATCGTCACTCGTCAAGAGAAAGATGTATCCTTTTTGAGTATGTTGTGATCCTTCCGGGAGGTAAACCGGAGGTCGCGATTAAATTACATTCGTCGAAACTTGAATTTCTTTGCTCGTTGTTTCGCGCCAAACATACATTCGAATTTGCACTTATCTTGCATTGTTATGCACGTCACTTGCATTCTCATGCATACCACTTGCATTGTTGTGCACGTTTCATTGGTATTGTTATACCCTCACGCTTAGCTTGCATTGTTACGTGCGTATCTCTCGCAATGCGATGCACTTTCCCATCAACATCCTGTTTGTCTGCATTCGATGTAGTGTTGAACATGTGTTGCTAACTATGTTGTACTTGTTGAGTTTCTTCATCTTTCAGGCACGATATTGTATGTATGGTTCATTTGAAGCTGGTGTGACCAGACGAATCGCGCTGGTATTGTATCTTCTCCGTGTGAGACGTAGCGAGAATCGAACAATTCTCCGCATTCTTAAACTGCATGAAATGTAGTTGTTGCTTTGCATTCTTGCTTAAAACTGTTGCATGTGCACTTCATTACAGCTTGCTGTTTTGCATGATCATCAGTTACATCCGGCGTTGTGCATATCATTTTGCATTTTGCCCCTGCCTACGGGCATGCCTGAGGGCACATCTTTGTTATCTTGTATGTTTGTCTAAGTCTTCGGCCTTGTCAAAAATGGGTCGTCTCTAGGCTTTGACATTCACTCCCGTCACGTGTGACTTCCGAGTTCTGTCAAAGAGGGGCAACTGTAGACACCCCATTTTTGAATGACCTTAAGACTCAGACATCACCAGTTGAATGCTTGGTGGTGTTGCATATTGTGCTCGTTCTGAGGTTACGGAGTCTCGGCTGCGAGCCTTGCCTCCGGACTTCGGGGCTCTTTTGTGCTTTCCCTCGGTTTGCGAACCAGGTCCTGTTTTCTTTGTTTTCTCTTCCCAAAGGGAGGGAGAGGTCTCGTAGACCATCTCTCAGTGGCCGTAGGCTACGTTTCGTGGTCGTAGGCCATTTTTCCCGTTTG